GCAATTTAAAGTGCCAATCTGAGACCCGTTTGTGTTTCAGCTTGTGGTCCAAGGGTTCCTTATGGCAGCCTGCTGCCTGCTACCATGGCACAGGCTGCTAAGAGATGCTTGTGAAATCAACCAGTCATCACTGAAGTCCTTTAATATCTTTGCACCTTTTCCAGAAAACTTTGGGGAACTGAAGCAAGGTGAAAAACTTTTCTCTCCTAAAGAGTCTGGATTTTTTAAAGGCTTCTGTTCTAAGACACCCCTTACAGCACTCGAAGTGAAACCCAGCATTGGCTGCACGTACCGTACTCCAGCAGATAAGGTGGTTTGTTTCAGGATCTTCCACCAGCGTCCAGAGCTTGGTTAGGAAGGCTGGCACATTGCTGGAGTAGCCATCCATCACCAGGGAGCCGGGTGAATCCTGCATAGCTTTCCAGTGTCCCGGCTACACCGACCCCATCGCTGTCAGTGCACCAGCCTCCCTGCACGTGCGTGTGTCCGACAGAGAATGAACCACTGAATTTTATCCCGGGCCAGTAGAAAGTAGGCTCCTGGGAGTCACATCAGCAGTGCCGCTCTCCCTCGTAAAAACTCAGCACAATGCAATGGCATCACCAGCCCCAGAGAACAATACACAGAATGAAAATGCACCGCAGCCGATCTCGCAGAGCTGTGAATAAATACGCAGCGTCATGCAGAGGGAACACATGCTGTGCACCTTGCACCGGGAGGTCAGCAAGGCTGCAGGCTGAATCCACCCGCTGGGAGCCTGCGGGACGCCCCAGCGCTGCCACCGCCTCTGTCTGAGCGCTCACGTAGTTTTATTTTGGAATTCTCTTGCCCCAAAGCTGGCCGGTGGAGGTGAGCACAGCCTGGCCAAGAGCCCAGAGCTGCACGTCTTCATCAAGGGTTTGAAAAGGCAGAACTGTAAGTTGGCTTGGCTATGGGTCTCATCCGCCAGAAGAGCTGGTCTGGCTCTTGGCTGACAAAAGTGGCGGATGAAAACAGCTACATGTGTAACTGCGAGAAAACATGCTTTATTGTTATCACTCAAAATCCTTTAGATTGCTCTAAATATTTGCTTGCAAAGGGAGCTTTATGCCAGGACCATTTAAAATCCGAATCTACTCTTCAAATCACAGCTCATCAGAATCCTTGGCACAACTACACAACATGCTCATTCTAACTTAGAGGCAGATACCTTTGCCATTTGCTGCTGACTGAGACAGGAAAAACTGTAAACACTGTTGATTCTCCTAAGAAACATTAACAATGCAGTGAAAGCATAGGTCTTTGCCAAAGGCATTCAAATACCTGAAAATGTGCATTTCTGAGAAAGAAAGGACAGAGAAGGATACTTGCAGGCTATGTGTCTTTCTTCTGACCTTACCAGTGCTCTTTCTTAAGTGCTTTTCGTTCTGCTTACATTTTCTAACATAACTCAGCTCCTGTTTAAACCATTACAAAGTGGAGGTTACCTGATAGCTGGATACCTGGAGAGCTCATCATCACAGAAATTGCCAGAAGAGAAATATCAAGTTTGGAGGGCATTTTCCATCAGATGACCACTGTCTGTCACTATAGGTGAACCCATGTGGCTAAGGACCCCAACAGACACAGAACACCTGCACTGAAGCTGTCGCTTCCTTAAGTGTCTGCCTAAATAGTTGCTGGGTGCCTGACACGGTGTGCTTGACTTTGAGATATGCTTAAAACATAACATAAACATTAAATTTCACTGTGATTTCCTGTAAAACTTCACAAAGGGTGAACACGGCATTCCCACTATTGCTAAATAGAGAACACAAAGAAGATAAAAGACTTGTCCTCCCCATTCCATTAAAAAAAAATTAGAAATATCTAATTCAATTTCTTTGTATGGCCATTGACCAATCACATTTGAGAACAAATGCTTCATCTGCGGAACAGGTGATCCGGTCACCGAACTGCCACTGGTTTCCAGGGGTGCCGTTCCTTGGTGACCTTGAGAGTGTATTGCTTCAGACAGGGGCAGTGCGTGAGGAACGCTTCCACCACCTCCTTGCTGACCACGCAGTAGCAGTGGATCTCCATCAGCTTCTGGCAGTGCCTCGCCAGCTCTACTAGCGAGGAATTCAAGTCCTCCGAGGATGTGGTTTGGAGCATCAGCTTCTTCAGAGTACTGCTGTAGCTCTGGGTGACAAACCTGATCTGATCTACCATGTAATTGTAGGTGTTCAGTTGCAGCGTGCTCACAGGTATGTTCTGCTTTAGGATCCGTGGTATCATGCAGCCAGGGACCGTATGATCGAATTCAAGGTCTACACAGAGTCGAGGATGTTTTTGCCTGACAGCAGCCCACAGCTCTTCTGAGATGACTGGTATGTATTTGTCCAGGCGCTCACAGAAAATGTCTAAGTGGGTGAAAGCTGCTCTTTCTGGCTTGAGCAGCTCCAGAAATACATCATTGGACAGGCTGGCATAGTAGACCCCCAAGGCTGAGAGTTTGGGACACACACTGAGAACTTTCCTAACGGTGTTCGGTGCCACATTGCACACCAGGGTACGGTTGTTGATGAACAAACTTTGCAAGTTTGAGTTGGTGGCAGCTAGGAGTTCAACAAGCTCCCCATCGAGAGTAAAGGGCATATTTCGAAAATCAACATGCTGAAGATCTATCTGGGTGTTAGTGTTGCACATATTCCGTATGCTCTGCAGGATGTCCTGGCCAGAGTAGAAATAGGGGTTCTCCCCATGGCACGCAATGCACAGCTGCTGCAGCTTGTGGTTCTGCTTTGCCAGCACATCCAAGATGCGCGTCACGTTCCTGCGGTTGACCTCTTTGGATTGGTCAAATCTAATCTTCAGGTGTTTGATTTGGCTGAGGAACTGGCACAGGCTCTGCAGCATGCCCTCCTCATCCTCTGAATCACAGCTGGAAGGGTAAAACAAAAGGTCAGTCACTGCGGAAGGTAAACCGAGCAAACAGAGCAGATTCTCTACTGTGTTCTGGCAAACACCAACAGATGACACATTTCTCCTCACTAGATGCCTGGCAAGTCACTGTAAGGCCAAACTCTGACCGAGTGAGGCGGAGAGAGGAGTCGGCCTCCAGAAAGACCACTGGGGAGGTAAGTGCCATCATGAGAATGACAACCCAATAACTTTGTCTCTTGGTGATACAAGGAGCAACTTGAAGGGACTTACCTGAGAATGTAATACTTCCCGTGGCACCCAAATCATCAGCAGTTAACATAAAAGCCCACACTGCATAACACCATTTTCTGTTACATAAAGAAATGCTAGTCACGAAATGTAGCCACACACACAAATCACAGCTAACATCAATTAGCTGTCACAGCACAGCGCTTGCACATCTTCAACACGCTCTGATACGTGATGCTCTTGTTACACCTGCAGAGATGCTCACGCTTCAGAAACCCATTCCTCGTACCTGATCTCCGTGAAATGCCAAACGGAGCTGGAAGAAACAGCCCCAGCCCACTGCTTGCACACCTGGAAGGCTGTGTATCTATCCCGAAGAGAAAGGTAATAGAAAATTTGGATGAGGATTTCCTCTGGGATGCAGCTCCACGGGTCAGAGTCTGGAGCAAGCATGCTGCTGATTCAGCTGGGTTCAAAAATTGGGGAAACTTCCAAAACTGCAGGGAATTTTCAAACAACCCTGTTTAAAAAAAAAAAAAAAGAAGAAGAAGAAGAAGAAGAAGAAAAGAAAGAAAAAAGGAGATATTTAGCATTTACATACAAAGTCAAACCAACGCGACTGGGTCACAAAGGGGGTCTGCACTATTTTCAACTTGAAACTTCACCACATTTTGAAATTCAGTGCAAAAATAGAGGAAATCCACTGGCCGCATGTTTGCACACTATTTCCAACCAAGCCTAGAAGCTGGGAAATACTCTTCAAGTATTAAAGATGTTAGATCGAGGCTTTGGGGGAAAAAAAGTGCATTTTCCTGCAGCAAGGGCTTTGCTACTGTAAGTAATAAAAATGCAAGAGAATTTTCTAGTGCTGCTGCACCGGTATGCAAAAAGCTGAGATAGATTTCTCAAACTGAGTGGAAAAAAACCTCTTTGCAAGCAGAAGCTCTACACAGAAAACAGCCCCACACATCCATTTTTGTACCGACTGTGAAACAAAAAGCCCACAGCAGAATGGGGCAGCTTTATTGCAGTGACCCTTGCCTGCAAGAAGACGTGGCGGCCTGACAGAAATGTTTTATTACTCTTAATCCACTCATTATAAGCCCCATTTACACAAGTCTGACTTAGAAGCGGGAAAGCACATTTTGCTTGACCTTCTGTGTGAGCTATGAGCACTGGGACAAAGGCTGAGATTGATAAGCTCTGAACGGAACGGTATTTTTCATCCACTTTTCTAGATTTATTTTTCATAGATTAAAACCACCGCATAAAATCACGGACACGAGACAGCTTCTCAATCCCTATCGCGAGGTTTTTAAACGGCAGAGCCGCGCAGCCTTGCAAGCATCCCCGTTCTTGGGACAGCACTGGGGACGGCCGCGTCCCAGACAGGGGACAGCCTCCGGGCCACGGAGCCAAAGCAATGCTTCACTCCCGCGGCTTCTGCCCGATGCCGGAGCGCTGCGACGGAAAACAGCACAGCTCAGAGCGGAACAGAAGGACGCGTTTTTTTTCAAGAATCCGCCGCTTTGAAGCGTGACTCATTGCCTTTCAGCGTGCGACGCGGTAGCGCAGCATGTCTGCCACCCTCGCAGTGACAGCAGCTCTTCCCCATCCCCTCCCCCAACGAGGAACTCAGCCCCGCTTCCTTCCTGGGAGCCCGCTGGTTGTTGTCGCTGTTTCCTCTGCCGACGAAGCCCTCACCCCTATCCGCGCTCCATCCGCCCGCCCTGAGCGGCTCGCACCGGGGGCTCGAGGCGGCCGAGCGCGGCGCACCGCCCGCAACGCAATCAGGGCTCCCCGTTCACCCCTTGCGGGCAGCACCTCCCTGCGTCCGTCGCAGCCGCGCAGAGGCGGAAGCGGCGGCGCCGAGGCCGGGCGGCGGCAGCGGCGGCGGCGGGAGGTAAGGGCCACCCCGGGCCGCCGGGGTAGTGGGGGGGGGGGGCGCGGGGGGGGCGCCCCCCCGGCCCGCCCCCCCCCCCCCACTACCCCAGCGGCTCGGGGCAGCCGCCGGTGGCGAGCCGGTGGGTTTGTGGGGGGGGGCAGCGGTTCAGCAGACTCTGTTGTGATAGGACAGGGGGAAATGGCCGCAGACTAAAAGAGGGGAGATTCGGGTAAGAGGGGAGATTCGGATCAGAGCTAAGGAAGAAGTTGTTCGCGCTCAGGGCGGTGAGGCACAGACTGCACACAGAGCTGGTGCTGCCCCCCATCCCTGCAGACAGTCAAGGTCGGGGCTGTGAGCACTGACGGAGCTGTGGGTGTCCCTGCTCGGTGTGAGCAGATGGCCTTCAGGGTCCCTTCCCACTCAAACCATCCTATGATTGTATTAGCTTGCCAGTGAGGCACAGTGAGAATGGAGAGATGGACGCACTGTCCTATAAGGGAATCATAAAAGAGCTAGGACCTAAAGTGAAGAGTTATCCCCAAGAGCTTACCAGTGCAGAGCCAAGAGCCTACACGCCCATTGAATCACATGAAGGGTTTGTCTGACCAGACTGATTCCATCCCCCTTCCAATACCTATGGCCCCAGGACTGGTCGAAGTCCATAGTGACAGCAGCAGGGTAAAGGCAGCACTGCTGGGCTTTGCTCTGCTTTCTTAGGAGCAGGTTATGAGTCCCTGGCTGACCCTCATGAGGTTCCCAGCCTGTGTGAGAGGCTTGTAAGGCTGCTGTGCATTTGCACTGTGTGTGCCAACAGCTCTACAGTGTGTATCATGTGGTTCCTACACGGGATCCTGCTGTGGTTACGGTTAGCATCAGCCTCTGTGCATCTCTTCTTGTGCTGTGCTGTGGCTCTCAGGATTTTGGAGGCCTTGCACCACAGTTTTTTTTGCTGAGTTGTCAGGTTTGGATTCTCTGGAGCGCATGCACGCTTCCCAACAGCTTTGTAAACAGAGAACAAGGCCTTTGCAATGGCCATGGGGGTTACTGGTGCCGCAGATGAGGTCAGAATGATCTGATACACCTTCTTGCTGTAAAGTTTTAGATAAATCAATTTTCAGTTTGCAATCTACAATCCCAGAGTACATCTTGGTTGTAATCTTACTGTGCTGGGGAGAAATGAGGCCATGGAGTATTTTTGGACTATAAATAAATGGAATCCAGTGGAGAATGAATGCAGAACTTTGTGAGCTGCCAAGTTTTTGGGTCACCAGGTTCCATTGTGCTGTTCTTTACAAAATAACACTGAACTCCTTATAGGGTATGCTTGCTTCAGCAGCATCACCACCTCCTTCAAAAAACAAGGCAAATCCACGTAATCTTGTCATGCTTGTGTTCTTCCCATGTCAGGCCATTTATGCTGTGGTTTCTCAGCTGACCTGTGTGATTTTGTAGGTGCTGAAGATGGCAGGTAGCTCGGCTCCTTGGATCGGCAGTGCTTACCTCTTCCTCCAGTCAACGTGCAAGACTATCATTCTGCCAAATCTCTATGAAAGCGCCCAGAAGAAGCCCTGCGTGTTCAAGGCACTGAAGCTGGCATTAGCAGGTACCCATCCTCTCTGATATATTGGCAAACTGAAATATATTGGTATCTCTTCACATAGCAATGCCAAGCCTTTCTTTAATCCCCCACTCAAGGGTAAGGAGTTCTGGTGCTTACTCTGCAAACCCAAGACACAGCTAATGGGTAGGATGACTGCAATTTCATGCAATCTAGTCCATTTCTTTCACAATTTCAGGCTGTGATTTGAGTTTGAATGCAACTGGATGCAAAAACCTTCACTGTCATTCATGCTAACATATCTCCCTCATAACTGAAATGGGTTAGCAATACATCCAGCTACTGCTCTTCATCTAATCAGCATACACTCACTGCTGTAGAAGCACTCAGGTGTGTTCAGCTGTGTGCCCATTTCATGAGTGATAAGAGTTATTAATCTGTCTGGATGGGTTATAGTCATGGGAAACATTTCCTCTTTTGCCTGCAGTGTACTTCTGTACGTCTCACTTCAGCTTTTATCAGGATTCTGCATCAGCCACAGACTGTGCTTATTTATTTCTTAAAAGGCTACACAGAAGCCTCTCCAAAGGTTTACAGTCAGTTTATGCTTAAGAGATTCCTGCCTTTATGCAGAGCTCTCTCACATAGTCTGTCGGGTGGTGAGCCGGGGGGAAGAAGGAGATGAAGCAATGAACAGAGGAAAAAAGGGAAGACATTTCATGATCAGTGTGCAGTGTGGTGGTAGTGTAGGCCACCAAGAGGGGCATGAGGCAGTGGTGGCATTAGGTAGGAGTGGGGGCAGCTGAGGTGGCAGCAGGAACCATCCCTGGGCCACCAGCAGGGCTTGGTCTTGGAGGTGGCTGACACAGACCTGAGAGCATCCGATCAGGATGGCTCCATGCTGGCATCAGCACCATCAGCACCCAGCAGGAATCCACTGCAGCCCCTGGGTGCCTCCTCGGAGGAGCCCTCCATCACCTACTTGGACAGCAAGATCTCCATTCTCAAGAACAAGATTTACTCTTGGTTCAGCTTCTGCAAGCTCTGGCTTTCATGAGGCCAGGCTTTCTCATGAGTGCTACCTACCTTGACCTGAGCAACACTGAGTTGGATTTGCAGGCTGGGGCCGTTGCAGGACTTAAGCTGACCACAGTCATCAGACTGCAGCTGCTGGCTGTCTGGCTCAGCATGCTGCTGACCTGCTCCATAGCCACCGTGTCCACCCTCCTTGTGACTGAGGGAAAAGAAGGAGAAGTACAAGCTGTGGAAGCAGGGATGGGTGGACTGGGAGGAGTGTAGCGATGCTGTCTGGATGTGAAGGGATGGGATCAGACACAGGTGGAATTAAACTTGGCAAGGGACATGAAAAACAAGGGATTCTCCAGATACACTGGGTGGAAGGGATGGATGAAGGACTGTTTACCCCCTCTGATAAAGGAGAATGGAGAACTGGCCTCCTCAGACATGGAAAAGGCTGAGGTACTTAACAAGTTCTTCGCCTCAGCCGTCACTGCCAGTCAGGCTTCTTTCACCTCTTGTGTCACTGAACTTCTAGGTGGGCGTCAGCGGAGCAAAATCGCTCCAACTGTAGGAGCAGAGCAAGTCAGAGACTACCTCACGAGACTGAATGTGTACAAGTTTGTGGCCAGACAATATGCATTCCAGGGTTCTGAAGGACCTGGCTGCTGTGGTTGCCAAGCTGCTCTCCATCATATATGAAAAGTCACAGCTGTCATGCAAAGTCCACAGTAACTGGAAAAAGGGAAACATTACTCCCATTCTTAAGAAAGGGAGAAAGAAAGACCTGGAGAACTACAAGGCAGTGAGCCTCATCTCTGTGCCTGGGAAGATGATAGAACAGATCCTCTTGGAAGACTTGTTAAGGCACGTGCTAGATGAGGTGATCCAAGACAGCCAGTGTGGCTTCCCTAAGTGCAGGTCGTGCCTGAAGAGTTTGGTGGCCTTCTATAGTGGAGTGACAACATCAGTGGACAAAGGAAGGGCAACTGATGTCACCTACCTGGACTTGTGCAAGGCTTTTGACATAGTCCCACACTGCATCCTTATCTCTAAATTGGAGAGAGATGGATTTGAAGGCTTGGCTGTTCTGTGGATAAGGAATTGCTTGGCTGGCCACAGCCAGAGGTTCTGGTCAATGGCTCTATGTGCTGGAGGCTGGTCGCAAGTGGTGTTCCCTAGTGGTCTGTCTTGGGTCTGGTGCTCTTCATCATCTTTATCAATGACATAGATGGTGGGACTGAGTGTACCCTCAGCAAGTTTGGAGATGACACCAAGCTGAGTGGGGCATCTGACATAATTGCACTCATTGCACTTTACAACTTCCTGAAGGGAGGTTGTGATGAAAAAGGGTCTGGCCTCTTCTCCCAGGCAAATAGTAGGAGCTGAGGAAATGGCCAGAAGTTGTACCAGAGGAGGTTTAGGTTGAACATTAGGAGAAACTTCTTCTCTCAGAGAGTGGTCAGGCACTGGAATGGCTGCCCAGGGAGGTGGTGGAGTCGCTGTCTCTGGCAGTGCTCAAGAGGCACCTGGATGAGGAGCTACGAGATGTGGTTTCGTAGCTTGTGGTACTAATAGCAATGGGAGGGTGGTTGGACTAGATGATCTTACAGGTCGTTTCCAACCTTGCAATTCTGTGATTCTATGATTCTATGATAATAGAAGGAAGAGATGCCATCCAAAGGGACCTGGGCAGGCTCAAGAGGGCATTAGAGAACCTAACAGGGTTCAGCAAGGCCAAGTGCAAGATGTTGCACTTGGCTGAGGCAATTGCAGGCATATATGTGCAGACTGAGAGAAGAACTCATTGAGAGCAGCCCTGCAGAGAAGGACGTGGAGGTCCTGGTAGATGAAAAGCAGGACATGAGCCAGCAGATCCCTTCCACACTAAGCCATTCTATGATCAGTACTGTGGGGTTTAGTGTCTGTGTTCATGCTCAGAAGCATCTGTTGTCTGCTGAGGCTGCCAAGTCAGAAAGGAGGGCCCTGTTACTCAGAAAGACTGGCATCTCTCTTCAGACTATGACTCGTCAGGCTTGCAGATGATCCTGCACTCCAATGTATGCTCAAGGACAGGGCTGCCATCCAGAGAGATCTGGAGAAGGAATGGGCAAGCAGGGATCCTATGAAGTTCAGTAGTAGCAAAGCAATCTGTCCTTGAGAAGGAGGAACCCAGCGGCAGAACAGGCTGGGGATGGACTGGCTGGAGAGCAGCTGTGTTGAAAAGGACCTGAGGGTCTTGGTAGGTAGCAAGCTAAAGGTGAAGTCTGGCAACCCAGAAATACAGTGTATCAAGGGAAATGATTATCTCCCTCTGCTTAGCACTCATTAGACCACATCTAGAATACTGCACCCAGTTTAGGGTCCTGCAGTACAAGAAAGATGTTGATAACGTGGAACAAGTTCAGCAGGGGGCCACCGAGATGCTTGGAAAGGAGATGCTGAGGAGCCAGGCCTGTTCACCCTGGAGAAGAGAAGGATCTGGGGAGCCCACCACCAGCCTGCCGGTACCTACAGGGAGGCTAGCAGGAAGAGAAGGATGCACTCAGATGGTGGTATGGGAAATGAGAGACAGCAGGCATAAATGGAAACAAAGTAGACATTGGATGACAGGTCAGACATTTTCCTCTGGGAACACAGTTGTATGTTCTCTGTCCTGGCATGGATAAAGCCCTCAGAAACTTGGTCTGACCTCAGAACTGACTCTGTTTTGCAAAGGAGGATGGGCTAGCGACTTCCTGGGCTTCCTTTCAATTTGAACTGTCTCATGAATGATCCTATTTTATGAATGTTTACTTAAACACAGTTATGTAGGAGGATTGCAGTTGGTATGAAAAATGCTTGATTTCTGCTGCAGAAACATTATTTCCTTTTTTTGAAGGCTATTTTTTAAAAGAGTGATGGCCAACAGAAGCTATTTTCTGACTTTAACAGGCACAATTACATTAGCATCAGTTGTACTTAAACATCAAAAAAAGGTGTTGAGATACAGATGGCCATAAAAGTATGTTTCTCTTCCTACCTTTGCACCAAGCTGACTTTAGACTCATAGTAATTTGAAGAATTTATCATATTTACCTAGAACAGCTATCACACAGTGCTCTTTACCTATCATACAACTGAGGTCATAGTGTTTAACTGGGTTTATGCGATTATCATGTATTTCTTCTGGCAGTCATCAGTTTAGCAAAGCTGGCTAGCTGCTCCAGTGCAGGCCAGTTCCATATCTAAAGACGTGAAACAGCAGGAAACCCAACAGAGTTGTCCAGTTAGGCTCAATTTCTGCCTGCTTTGTTTCACTGGAATGTGCATCTGCTCACACGTTTAGAGGAAAGCTCTCAGTAAGGCTAAATGCTACCATGCTCATTCATACCTAAAAAGGACATGGAATCTGAAGCTGTCAGAAGTTTCAGAAAGAAGCTGCTTTTGAAGTGGCTGCCTTGTATGCCATTCAGAAAGGTTTCATGTCTGTACAGCTTTTCCCTACCCCAGCCCTCTTGCCCAGTTATGCAAGCTTTTGTTTAATTAGCACATACAAAACACAAAGCATGAAGGAAGTAATAAAAATAAAAGGGCGTTTCTGATCAGCAATCCTGAACAGAATTAAAATGCTTCTCCTAAGTACATAGTCCAAGTTATGCATCTAGACCAAACTAAAGCTTCTAATGCAACCAGCAGTCTGTAAACCCTGTAATACCACTGTTAGCACAGATTTTCAAATGCTAGGTCATTTGTCCTCGCTATTGCAGAACATGCAGGTCTGCTTTGCCTTAAGTATTCCTCTGGGCACGTTTAAATAATGCCATGGTGTGTGGTTTAGAAATCATTGACACAACGGCAGTCTGAGCAGATTCATCCACGCTGCTCTGTGCAGGCAGTGCAGCCAGCCTCCCACAGGCCAGTGCTGCAAGAGAGAGCATAGAAGACACGGTCAGTGTGCACAGCTAATCGAATTTAAGCTCTGCTGGGGGAAGGAAGGATGAATGCCTGATCTCCCTCTGTTGTCCATGTCTCTCAGGCTCCATCCACACTGACTTCAGAGGGCACATCCTTGCCTTGTCCTTGCTGACATTTTACAGTGAGTTCACTCTTTGTGCAAAGAAATTTAAAGGTGTCCACTCTGACAGCCAAAATTCTTGTGGTTGGGTCTGTCATGTAGCTGGGTCTGTCATTTGCCATTTGCGACATGCACTGAAGGCATCAAGCCAGAAGCTACCTGTGGGCACAGGGCTGGGAAAGAAATGCTAGGTCTCTTTCCAGGACCTTTACCACTGCCTGAAACTCCAGTGATGGGGACAGAAATCTGGCTCAGAACTGAACTGAACTGTGCATTTTTGTGTATAAAATGTGTATCTCTGTTGTGTACTGTTTTAATCTAACCATTTCTGCCCTAGAAGTGGAGCCTTGAACTTAAAAGCTCCCCCAGTGAGCTGCTTTGGGAAGTTACCTGGGCTGTAGTACAGAACAGCTTCCTCTGGATGCCACGCTGCAGGGATTCATGGTCACAGGGCAGCGAAACCTAATCCTTTCCTCTTGGTTTTATATACAGGCTTTTCATCCCAGAGGACTTTATCACAGAGAGAAGATGATTCAAAAGCTACTCCATTGCAGGCTTGGTGGTGGATGGGAGTGGGTCTGGGTTGTCTGTCTCGTGCCTGGATAGTGACTTTGCTCACTTCTCCCTGCCAGACTCCACCGGCAGCGTGAATGGTGTGGACATGCTCAAAGTGCACTGCAGCCACCCACACCTGATAGTCCAGCTCAAATTCTGCAAGCAGGAGAACTGCCGCCGCTTCCTGCAGAGTTACCGGGAAGGATTGCTCCAGAAGTCCCTCCAGAACCACCTCCAGCTCTCCTTGGCCATGACCACGGTGCCTCTAGAAATGGAGCTGAAGGCTGGCAATGAGCACCTGGACAACATGCTGAAGGATGAGGATCGCTGCCTGGAGTGCATATACAGAGAAAAGGTGAATGGGAGAGGGAGGGAAGCCAAGCAGTAACACAGGATGCAAAGCGGGTGCAAATTCTGCTCTGCTGCTGTGCGCTGGACTGCCAACTTCTCCTTCCTTCAGCTCTCAACTGTAATATGGAGAACAGCTCTGCCCTTCCCCAGAAAAGATCTGGGTACTTTTCTCAAGGACTATAGAGCTACCTTTCTCCCCTGCCTCACACATCTCAACCCTAGCAATGGTAACATGAGCACGAGCAAAAACATCACACACTGCACCAACAGCTTGTGACAGAGTGGGGACACGCAGCATCTGCTGCCAGCAGGCTGCTGTTCTGACATCAGTGCCTCTCTCAAGGATGACATCTGGTGTCCATCTGTATCCATCTCATCTCACACTTTGGCTCTGACTAATCCTGCTAGCAAGAACAAGGGCCAGTACTGGGGCCCATCTTGTTTAATATCTGTATTGGTGACCTAGGTTAAGGGATTGAGTTCACCCTCAGTAAGTTTGCAGAAGCTGGGAGGTGGTGTGGATCTGCCTGAGGGTAGGGAGCAATCTAGATAAGCTGGATCACTGGGCTGAGGTGAATGGGATGAGGTTCAACAAGGCCAAGTGCTGGGTCCTGCACTTTGGCCACAACAACCCCATGCAGTGCTGCAGGCCTGAGGATGAGTGGCTGGATGAGTGTGAAGAGGAAGGGACCTGGGGGTGTTGGTTGGTGCTCGGCTGAACACGAGCCAGCAGTGTGCCCAGGTGGCCAAGATGGCCAACGGCATCCTGGCTTGCATTGGAAATGGTGCGGCCAGCAGGAACAGGGAGGTGAGCATCCCCTGTACTCAGCTCTGGTGAGGTTGCACCACGAGTGCTGTGTTCAGTTTTGGGCCCCTCAGTGCAAGAAAGACATTGAGGCCCTGGAGTGTGTGCAGAGAAGGGCAACGAAACTGGTGAGGGGTCTGGAGCACAGGGCTTATGAGGAGCGGCTGAGGGAGCTGGGATTGTTCAGTGTGGAGAAGAGGAGGCTCAGGGGAGACCTCACTGCACTCTACAACCTCCTGAAGGGAGGCTGTGATGAGGAGGGGTTTTGGCCTCTTCTCCCATGCAACAAACAGGACCCGAGGAAATGGCCGCAAGTTGTGCCAGAAGAGGTTTAGGTTGGACGTGAGGAGAAACTTTTTCTCTCAGAGGGTGGTCAGGCACTGGAATGGCTGCCAGGGAGGTGGTGGAGTCGCCGTCCCTGGCAGTGCTCAAGAGGCACCTGGATGGGGAGCTGCGAGTTCTGGTTTAGTGCTAGTGGTGGCAATGGTGATGGGAGGGCAGTTGGACTGGATGATATTGTAAGTTCTTTCCAACCTCGTGATTCTATGATTCTGTGATTCTAACAGTGGGATCTTGTCATCTTACCACAAAACCAAAGCACTTGCTGTGATTAAGCTTATTGCCTTTTTCCTCTCCTTGTTTTTTTCCCACCTGGAACTACCAGTATCTGACAGCTTTGCTTCCCTCTCAGCAGTCCTTAGGATCAGGCAGTCTCTGCCTCCACTGGAAGATTAGGCACGAGAGCGTGTTCTGACAGGTTGCTTTTCTGCAAGTGCAGAGATGAAATGCAAACCATTCACCCGGGACCAAACATGTGATAACAGGCATCCTTTCAACTTCTGCTTGCTGCTCCCTCCCTCTGCTGAATTAGCTGACTGGACAAGAGAAATGGGTTATTGTCTGTTCCCCAGAATTGACTCAGCCTGACCTCTGCCTACCAGCGCAGCAGCCAGAAAGATCAGTGGCCGGCTGAGGGCAGTGCTGGGTGCCAACCTGCTGTATGCAAGCGTAAGTGCTAAACTGAGTCAGAGCACCATGGAGTTTGACTGCTCACACGTGCTCTGCATTATTTCCTTATCCTCTTTCTCCTTACTTTCTCTTTCGATATCAGATTGGTTTTATCTCAGCAAGGCTTGAGAGGTTGCAGAAGCACTAGGAACAACACTTAAGTATAGGAAGGGAAGGCAGGGAGAAGGAGAGTAGCAGGAGCTGCCTGCTTTGCTGGCCATGAGCTGTTAGATCAGCTCACCCTATTTTGTGGGTCTGACTCTCATGTGGAGTAAATCAGAGAAGCTCTGGTGCCTTAATTCTTGCAGTAGGCTTCTGAAAATAAATGTGGACTAGGAGCAATTCTGTGCAGCTTGTAAGTAGTCACTGATGCATGTGACAGACCCGAGGGGGGCACTGCCCATTTCAGATCACACTGCAGGTAGAAATGCGCAGACTTACACCAGAACTCCATTAGACTATCTGTCCAATTCACAATACCAGCTATAGCAATCTCATTGCTTCGCTCTCAACACCGTGATCTTAAGCCACACTGAAAACCTGCCCTCCAGCTAAATACCTACAGCTTTGTGAGATGGTGAAACTGGCATAAATCATCAATGCTGTTTGCATTACAGCCTGACCGCCTGCGGGACGAGGAGATCACAGAGCTGGAGGAACGGCTCAAGAGCCTGATTCTTCACCAGAACATCAACAACAACATGCCTTCCAAGGACTGCATGTCACTGAACTCCCCTTCTCTACCTTCTCAAGGCAGCTCCCTTTCCCCACAAGTCACATTTCTTTTTCAGGGACAGCAGTTTGGTGAGTAATGAGAACTGAGCCAGAGAATCTCAAAGGCCAGAAGGGAGCATTAATGTCACCATGTGGTGGAGTGTACCTGGGATAAACTAAGGATCTCCCAGCATCCCATGGAGAAGGAGTTGCAATAGTATTAAGATACTGTCACACTCCTTCAGATCAGGCCTCGGCTTATTTTTGTCCTGGGCTGACCTGCTTAATCCAGGCAGCCTGCGGTACAGTGTCTGTTTCCAGTGATGTCTGCTGCAGAAAGCTTTCAGGTGGTCCTATGTAGCAGTTTTAGTTTGAGATCAGCCTGGTCTTTTCCAAGTGTGCCTAAGGTGTGTGAACAGTCCCCAGTGCTAAACAGCTGAGGAGAGAGCTCCTGTCTGCGTTTCAGTACTTTAAGGATGTGTAGCCAGGGAGCAGGGGGCTTGGTCTGAGTTGCTTTTGAAAGGCAGAAACAAAGAGGATGTCTGTCAAAGAAAATTGAGCTCTGGCAAACCCCAGGAAAAATAGGAAAATAAAAACATGTTAGGTAGGGGCAAGCCCAGGTACCTTGATGTCAAGGAAGGATTTTGGAAGGGGAATGAGCCTGACAGAATCCCAGAAATGCCAGAGCAGACAGCTGGGAATGGGTAAGTGCCACCCAAGCCATCGGTGCTGCTCAGTTGATTTTCTCTTTCCAGCATTAGAGGATTGTGTCAGAGTGCACAAGCCCTGCCCGCAGCAAACCAGTCCCTTTAGCCTCACTGCTCTTGCGCTTCTGCTCCCAGCGCAGTGCTGGCCAGGTGTTAAGATACCAGCAGACAAGCAGAGCAGCAGCACAGCTCCTAACAATGCACTGTGAGTTCTGAACAGCCTCCCAGCTCCACAGAACACTGACCAAACCCTGCCTACATCACATCAGCCATGAAACCCTATGTTTAATCTGCCCTCTGTTCCTTTCAGACAATAGAACGCTCACACCAGATGACCACCAGAAATTTGCCAAGCTTGTGTCCAAGAAGTGGAAGCAAGTGGGTCGCTCCTTGCAGAAGAACTGCCGGGCCCTGCGAGATCCTGTCATTGATAACCTGGCTCACGAATACGACAGAGACGGACTTTATGAACAAGCCTATCAGATGCTTCTTCGATTTATCCAGTCGGAGGGGAAGAAGGCAACGATAGCACGACTGATTGCAGCCCTGGAAGAAAATGGTCTCACCAGCTTGTCTGAGGAGCTCTTGGGCCTCCATTCTAATGAGGATGACTCCTAGAGCCCAAAGGGTGGTGGCATTGCTGAGGGCTTTCTTGCTTTAATTAGTGTATGAGACTGCTGCCAGCGTCTGGGAATGTAATGCCTTGAAAATCACTGCAGGTTTATGTGCTGAAGGGAGTGCCCTGGGCAGTTTCTGTGCTCCCAGAAGCCAACATGGGGCTCTGATGTTCCTTATTTCTTTCTGTTTCCAGAAGTCGATGTTACTTTCCTGTGAACCACTAAGACAGCCTGACTTCCTTCAGGACTGAAATGTCACAGAGAAGCAGCCAGGCAAGTTAACGAGCCCTGGGGAAGGTGGGAAGAGGTGAAAAGCAAGGAAGGCATCTCAGAGAATTCCCCTGGGAAGCAAAGCCAGTGTTTCTCAGATGTGGCCCAGGGGCCATCACCTGGAGAACTGCAATATATTGTCTCATATTGACATGTATGCCTTCAGGCTTGAAACTATGTAAAGACAAAGGAAAAGTCAAGTTTATAATGTTTTCTTTGTTCTTCAAATGAGGACCATCTGCAGCAAGTACACCTGTCCTGCTCTACCCCGGTGTAGTTCCTTCCCACATCTTACCACGTGCCACTGCCTTTACCAAAGGCAGTCATCATCTTCCACAGGGCACAAGATTGCTGCTGTAGAAGACTTCAGGCACTGAACAAACAGTGTGGATAAGCACAAATTCAGAGCTCTTTCAGGACTATGGTGTACAATAATGTATTGACTGCCTCACGTCTAGCACTTCTCCCAGCCTGGAGGAGTTTGTGAAAGGAAAAACACAGTGCTGCAAGAATAATATACAGCCTTAGAGTCAGCAAATTGCCCACAGGTCACTGATTGAACCTGCTGCTGTATGGTGCATTGCAGCATCAAATACCATCCAGACCCCGCCGAGCAAGCCTCTCCAACCAGCTGGCTGCCAGTGCCTTCGCTCAACCTGTCCTTGGCCTGCTGAGTTCACCAGGGATGTGTCAGGATCTGCACAGAGCCTTTCCAATGACAGCAGTGTTGTTGCTGTGTGACACTTGGGCATCAGATCCCATGCCGGGACCTACCTGCCTTGCTTTTGAGGGCAAAATATTGCTTACAAGAGAAAGTACCTAAAACTCAGGGCTGATTCCTGCTTTCAGTTCCAGTGGGACAGGCCTGCTGTCTCTTGGTGTGTTGATGCAGACTGCGACAGAGCAGAGCTTATACCTTTACCTATACCAAAGCACAGAGCAACAAGTTTGTAGCACAACACAGGTCCCATGAAGCACAACAACCAGTTTTGACATATTCCTTATTTTTTACTGATACTTTTTTACTTAGGTGTTAATTCTCTTCCTCTTTGACCTTCCCATCCATGGGCAGGAGCAGCTGGTGGTCTTGGAAGTTAAGTCAGACATAGAAGAATGTTTTCTGTGTCCTGTCCTCTCCCTTCCAGCAGTACCAGCGCTCTCCCCAAAAGAAAATGAGTATCTCTGCCACGTTTCCTTTTGGGACCAGCACAGTGATTCTGGTCTTCGTTAGTTTGGGCTGCAGTGGGACTGTACTTGGGAGCATTTAGCTTTCCCTGGCTGGGGAACTCTGGCAGCAACCCACCTGGCCAATGGTTCTAAAAAAAAAATCAGAAACTTGAAAGTTGCTGTAAGAGCAACAGTGTTTGCTCTTTATTTTGCAGCAAATGGCTTTTCAGAAAACACGACCTATGCATGTTGTGCTGCCTCATTGGTAGTGAATATTTCTAAGTTCTCAGCCTACCGGTATTCATTGCTCAGTGTTCATACAATTATAAAGCAGTGGCTCATTGGTGTATAAAAGCTTTTATATCATCTCTTAGCACTCAAAATGAGAAAAGCTCATTCTTTGGCATCGACTTTAAGTACAAAAACTCTCTTTGCTGTTATTATGGAGCACTGAGCATGAATGCTTTTTTCTTTTTTTTTTTTTTTTATAATGCAAACCTTGTGCGTTTTATTCCTCTGCTAGCAATTTGCCTGTGTGTCTCCTCTTACTCACAGATTCCCTCCCTAACGTGCCATTAAGTGCTGGAGCTCCTGGCTCCTTCTTTTCAGAAATCAGGTACCAGTAGTTGTATATTATGTGCAATGCACATTTGATTCTGGTCTCAAGCAGACTCCTGCCTGCTAAAAGAGTTGTTTTTTTCTGTGTCATTTGGCACAAACACAGATAGAGGCAATTTTCACAGATGCCTTGTTATGAAATAGACAAATTATAGGATGTGAGAACCCAGTGTCCTTTGCATTGAATTGACACATGGCTAGGGCATGACTCCAGACTTACTTGGGCCTGTTTTATCCAGAAGATTTTACAGCTGTTGTGCACCAGTATGCCAGGACAAGGGGACTTGCAGCACACAGGACAGGAAGAAGCACTCGCAACAAAAAACATTAGCAGAGGTTTATGGAAGAAATCAGAGTCTTTACCTCTGATAGCAATGCAGTGAGTGAAACCAGAGGAAGAATTACAGGTTGGGGATACTTGCTGGAAAGCAGGCACTCGGTGCTGGACGCTGGCTTTCTTCTTTTCCTGGGCAAAGCTGTTGCACACTGCCCCTACTCAGGTGCCAAGACATGCAGGTGACCCCCTTAGTGCTCCTTACACTGATCAGCTGAATCTAGCGTGTCAGATGGGCTGAGAGCAAAGCTGCAGCTGGACTGGGCTGCATCCCTTGGCAGCTCTTCCCTATGTGTAGATACGCCTGAAAAAAATGCTGCTGGGGGAGGCCATCAAACATGCATCAAACCAGCACGCGCTATTAAAAGCAAATGAAGATAGTTATCAGTTCTGTGTAAAAAATGAAATGAGAGACAAAAAATAAACAGCATGAAACGAGGCCAAAACATGCGTCCAGGGCAGGATCCAAGAGGGCTTTTGTTGTGGTGCAGACCGTTTCTGTGGTTTTAGCAGTGTTTCAGATTTGAAGGAGGCTCCTTTCAGTCTGCCAGAAGGAATAAAAACACATCCAAAGGAGGATTTGAGCGAGTTGTTTTGGCACAGTGGAGCTACAGCTGGGCAGCGAGAGAGAGTGGAAGTCAAAGTGCACAGACTTTCACATGAGGTTGCTCAGAAGGTAAACAGAGGGAGACACTCAGGTGTAAAATGGGAACAAAGGAAAGCATCAAACTTGCCCTGCAGGACGGAGCCATCCAAAGGCCAGCCTTGGGCCTCTTGGATGATGGTGAGGAATACACCATAGATTTTAACATGCTGAAAAAGTCTGTGATCATCCCAGCTGATCAATCGAAACGGGGCAGGGAAGGTGCTTTCTGCCGGCTGTAGTTCTCACAAGCTGCAGCTGCCTATGGGTGAGCTGACGCAAAAAGGACAGGGCTTTGGTGTTAGTGATTGGAACCGCTGCAAAACCGTGAGCCAAATTGAAAAGAAATAATAAAATTCACTTTCAGTTTTTCACAGCAAGTCAAATTAAGAACAAATGCCAATTGACCGCTTGCAGCAGCACTTTCCAGGGCTCCACACACTTGCAGAGGCAGATATGTGGATTATTTTTAATGCAGAATGGGAAGCTCCTGTCTGAGCACTGCGGGTTGCAGAGCTTCAGGTTGCAGAGCCCCCAGCTAAAATGGTTTCCTGAAGTTTCGCAGCAAGTCTCAGTACTGTGTCTGTTTCACAACCTGGGGGAAATAGCAGCAGAAAATGTCAAGATCTGGACATTAAGATCAAGAGGTGTGTAGGGTGAGGGAAACCACTTGCTTGGGGAAGTCGTGGGTGCCTGGAGAGGAAGCTGCTCTGGCAAAAGGTCTCCTCATGTGACAAAATTGTGGGTTTTTTTCCCCTTTTGCTACCCGTTGAAAAATCTGCTTCAGGACTGAGGAGACATCCTCAGTGGGTCAGAGGGTCAGCTCTGCCTTTCAGACATACCTCAGAGCAGGAACCCAACGTGGCACACAAGGCACTGAGGGGCCCCAGACTCACTTGTTGAGTTTAGCTGAAACTTCACATGTAGCTATGAACCGTTGGCATTGCACGTCTGAATCCAAGGCAGTACTGGAATGGGGATGGAGAAGGTTTCTTCAGTCTGACCAACACAGAAGGGTGGGTGAGTGGGGGTGGTGAGGTGCTCTGCTTCCCACAGCTGAGTCTGGCCACTTGGCTTTGGCACAGCAATGGGTCCAATTTGTAAGGCCTGAAGTAAAAAAATTGCAGTAAAATGAATTTTTTTTTTTCTTCTCTGGATTTGACTGGGTTTGAACTTCTAAAGCCAGTGGAGGAGTTTGACTAATTTAAATCAGTTGGAGATCTGTGGTCAAGTCCCTTAGTCATCAGTGGAAAAATCCCTTGCTGACCTTCTACTTCCAAATTTCCACACTATGCAGCATCAGATTGGGATCAGCATCTGCAGCTGTGGGCTGCAAAACCACGCATACTCAGGTCTGGGACATTCAGCCTATATGTATTGTCTTCTATAGGAGAAAAAAAAAAAAAAAAAAAAAAAAAAAGCACTTTGGTCTATTTTTCCATTCTCTTTTATAAATAAACATATACTTTTGACAAAAAGAGCCTGAGAGACTTTCTTTTTAAGCACTTCATACAGTGGTGAGAAGAAAAGGGTTCTGAAGTTCTGGCCTCACCAGCTGTCACAGCAGCATCCAGCTGAGGTTTCTGGATGCAGAATAGAGTCCTGCCCCAAGGCCGGTGCCCACCTGAAAGTGCATGGCTGCCATTTCAAGTCAAAACCCAGCACAGCCAGCATGACCTCTTCGGTTTCTAGCGACTCATGGTTGAGCCTGTTCAGGTGGGGTCACCCCAAAGTGCCATCTGGCAGCTCCCCGTGTTCCCTCCAGTGCTGCTACATCTGTGAGGCTGCTCCAAGCCCACGGCACCACTCCTGCCCCCTGGGCCCTGCTTGTGGTCAGCGTTCTCAGGGGCAGCAGCCCACTGCGGGGGAGCTGCTGGGTTTGGACTTCCCGTCTTCTGCTCTGGGTTTGCACAGGAAGCCATGGGCTGACCTGACAGCTGCACTCGGGGAAATTCCTTCAGCCATGAGCTGGAGCAGAGCAATATTTCACTCTGACACACTGAAACCTCAGGCAGTACTTTAAATCCCAAGATCGGCCCTTCTTCATTTATCACCACACTGTATTCCCAGCAGCACAGCATGGCTCCTCAGGGGTGTGATGGGCAGCAGGGCTCTGCCCTACGGCAGGCAGGCAGACACTGCATACACAGCGCCACTGACCAAATTACCGACACAGCATTGCCACGCAGAGTGACACAGCTCCCAGCAGAGGACGCCGTCTGTTCCTCAACTCCGGGACTGTCACCCAGGGGAGGGATGAAAGGTAGATAGCCTGGGGCTGCTGCTGTAGAGGAGAAAGAGGGAGGTGTCTTCAGCCACACAGGGGTTTTTTGAAAGCAACCAAATAGGTCAAAACCACAGCTTTATGACAAGCTTGGCATAAACAAAAAGCTGGCATACTATGGAGGTCCCACTGGGCACTCTCCAGTCTTGGGAAGACAAGTGGTCAGTGCGTCCAGTGCAGAAACAGAGAAACCAAGAGACAGAAACAGAAACTGCCATCAGTAGGTGGTGACAACCATTCAGACTCAGCTCCTGTTAAAACCTTTTTGTGTTGAAGTAATTCAAAATAAGAGTTTTAAAATAAGAGGAAGAAGGCAGGGGTGTTAGTTTGGTGTTCAGGGAATTTTGGCGTAGTTGGATTATTAGGAAAAAGTTCTGCTCTGAAATAGTGGCACAACTGCCCACGGAGGGGGGGAGTCACTGTCCCAAGAGGTGTCCCAGGGTGGGGATGTGGCACTGAGGGACATGGGCAGTGGGTGATGTTGGTAGGAGGATGGCTGGCCTCGATGACCTTAGAGGTCTTTCCCAACCTTAATGATTCCATGATTCCATGATCCGCCTTCAGCCTCTGCTCAGCTCTCCATCCCCTCCCATCACTTCCCTGCTAGGATAAAGGAACAAACGCCAGGTTGAGTTTCCTTCTTGAAGGACTGAACCCAACCTCAGTTTCTGCAACCTTTGCAGAGGTAAATAATCATAATGGAATTAAAAACAAGACAAAACAAAACAAAATAAAATAAAAAGCTAAATTGGGAAAGAACAAATCCTGTTAAAAAAAAAAAAAAAAAAAAAAAAAAAAAAAAGTTACAATTAAAAAATCTTTTCTTTTTCTTTTTTTCTCTTTTTTTTTCCTGGCTGCTTCAGCCAGAAAAAGAGCAGAACCCAGGGGACCCCATCCTGTCCCCGCGCTCTGTGCCGCAGGCCAGCTGCGCGCACGGCCGCCGGTCACGTGCCGGCATTGGGTCCGCAGCCAGCTGCTTCCCCGGTGCGGCCGCTCCTTCCACCCCACCGACCTCGGGCAGACGGGGCCCCATCGTGGCGGACCCCCGCGGGCCGAGCCCCCCCGGCACCACGCGGACACGCGGGGGAAGGGCCGCAGTGTGAGCGCGGCGCGGGGTGCAGGGGAGAACCCCGCCTGGCTCGGACAGAATTTCCTCGGCTTTGCTGAAAGGCTGAAGAATGTCTTCCGCTAACTACATCCAGATGTGCCTGCCTGGCAGCTCGCTGCCGGGACGGTACCGAGGGGACGCGGGATCCGCGCTATCGAATGGGATGTAAGTAGACACTGCGTGCGTTCCATCGGGGCAGAGTCGTGCCCCGTGTGAGCGGTGGGAGTTCTCCCGTTTCCTCTTTGCCGCGCTCCCCTCTGCCAGCTTTTCCCTCTGCGCCGTGGCTCCTGAGACGTGTCTGCCTGCGGGACCCCGAACTTGCCATCGCAGCCTCCGGACGCGCGGCCCTGGCCCCGCGTGGGCTGTGCTTTGCTCTCCATCGGGCGCTCTTTGCGTGTCTCTGGTCGCTGTCACAGCACAAAGTTCGGGGCTTCTTTTAGAGAACGGCTGCCGCGGTTTCTCCGCGGCCACACAGCGCAACGCACAGAAAATTGTTTCTTTCCTGCGAGAGGATGGGAATCTCTCCCTGCGCACTCATGGCTGTGCGCTGAGAGAAACGTGGGAAATTGGAAGAGAAAGAGCAGAATGAGGCAGGAAGTTGCTGAGCACGACTTGCAGGAACTTTCGGCAGCTCCGAGACGCTCGTGCCGTGCTGTTAGCCTGTTTGTGGAGCTGCCTCTCACAGTGGTAACCAGGCATGACACGACAGCCGCACCAACACCGTGTGACTGCCATCTCCTCGTGCCCCCCGGGCCAGGCCAGGCTGCAGGAGGCTGTCATACAACGGGAGCGGCCAGATAGGAGCCGATGTAGCCCCACACTGCAGCACTGGGGCGAGCTGGGAGAGAAATAGGGTCTCCTGCCCCATGGCAGCGGGGATGCTGTCTGCTCATGGGCAGAGCCTCTGGCACCGGGTGGCCTCACACTGCCTTCACTCGGCTCCAGCTTCCAACCCCTGGGAGAGCTCTGCGGAGACATCCAGCTAATTAAACCTGCTTTCACTTTGTTTAGGGAGTTCAGAATGGAATGAGACTGGCTTTTTTTTCTGGTTAGGCAGCACAGCGACTGTTTTTCTTGTTTTTTGTAGGGCTTCGCGCTAAGCAATGTGCCAAAGGGCGTCTCTTTGTTTCAGCCTGCCCGTCTTCTGGGCAAGACGCTCAGATCGCTCAGCACCACTGTTAATTCTAGAGCTGCAAACGGGACACTCCACAGCTATCCTACAGCACACACACACACAGGATTTGTTCAGCACTGAGGCCGCTAACAGCATTCACTTTCATGATTTCTTTTTTTTTTTTTTTTTTTTTTTCTGCACCAAACCAAATAAAAGAAACAAGAACAAAAAAGAAGTAATGCCAGAACTAGAGCTTGTTACATGACAGCCAGACAATAAATAAAGAGGGCTTCTTTTCCTGGTCAGACACACAGAACTGTTCTTTTCCCTTTTAAAGGCTGCAAAACCAGCCCAAACCACTAAATGTCAGCAGTTTTGTGCATGCTTTCATGCACTGGGTGCTGATGTTTTCCTGCAGCACCCAACAGAGCCAAACACCCATGGGACACAAAATGAAGTCTTGCATGAGACTTGCACTAAGACCAATCTGCTGTGTTTCAAAGCAACAGGAGGTGGAAGGAGCCCAGGATGCTCCTGGCATCCCTATGGGCTGCCAGAGGCCAGCGTGGCTGTGAGCAGGAGGGGAAGGACTGCAGGAAAGGCAGCATCACCTGGAAGCAGTGCTGTGAATGGAAGCTCTGTTCCTCTGCCTGGCGTGGAGTGAGAGCCTGCTCCTAGAGCTGGGCCAAGGGGAAAGGCAGCGCGGGGGGAGAGGCTGAAAGAAGAATAGAAGATCTAATAACCTGCTGTGTCAAGTGAGCTGCTGGTGAAATCCCCACAGCTGCCAAACAGCCCAGAAATTGGAGAAATGTCAAGCACCGGGGAGCAGATTACTTCAGGGGGTCCCAGAGGTCTTCAGCACTTGCAGGACCTGATGTACAGGACGTGGTCACCAGGACACGTGGTTCACCAGCATAAGAGCTGGCCAGCATCACTTTGGCAGATGAGGCAGGGTTGAGAAACCAAGAAGCACTGCATCTTCTCACAGGATTTGTTCTGAGGTTCTCTGGGGGCTGGGATTCCACGTCAGAGCAGCAGCGCTGGGCTGAGAGCAGTGGCACCATAGGCGGGGGGTGAGCGGTGCTGCGTGGCTTTCACATGGGCAGATGTGGCACAGGAACGGTTCCATTGTCGCAACAGGCAGAGCTGACAAAGGAGATGGAGCAGAGGAGCACAGGGGGTATCACAGCTCTCCTTCTGCTGGAGGCCCACGTCAGTCCCAGCTGCAGGTTTGCTCACGGTGGACATTGTGCAGTTGCTGTCGGGTTCCTCAAACTGAACCGCTCCTGTGTGAGGATGTTCGCTGGTCTTCAGTTACACATAACAATTCCTGCTGCTGGCAGAGCCCAGCGCTGGGCGCCGTTCCCATCAAACAGGTTCAAGCAACACAAAGCAAAAACAAGCAGCTCAAACCTCAAGTGCTGCCTCAAAACACCCTCAACACCCCAGATTTTGCAGGTTCCTCTGAGGACTGCAGAAACTCAGAGAGCCCCCAGCGCTTCCTTTAGCTCTTTGAAGCAGGTAGGGCATCTCCATCAGCAGCCCAGCCCCTCTCTTGCACAACCCAAACCTTCCAGGAGAGAGGGAGAAGACCTGGGTGGAAACGCCTTCTGGGCAGCGTGCTCTGGGGTTGACCACCTTTATGCTTGGCTGTTCTGGATCCCCTTCCTCCACGTAGCACATCTGCAGCTTGCTTTGCTATCACAGCTGCTTTTCCCGAGGTCGAGCAGGCTGAGTCACCACTCTTCCAGTGCAAAGCAGCGTGCCAGAATCACCACGCCATCGTGACTGAGATCCAGGAGCAGTATCCAAAGGCTTTTCCCCACGTGTGAGCAGAAGCGCCAAGTAACGGAGATGTGGCAGCCGCTGCAAGAGAAGAACATTTCCAGGATGAGCCCAAAGCTTCACGTCATTCAAGTGAGAATGAAGGGCGAGCAGATTTTATTTTTTAAATCATCTTTCTCTTGAGAGTTTTTTATTGCAGCCTTCCTTGTCTACTTGTCAGAACCTTTCAAACATTCAAAAAGCAGGAGCTGGTCCCCCGGCTCTCCCCGCTGCCCCACCAGCTGCATGCCCCCAGCCCTCCTGCCCTGCATCTCTGCCCCTGCGGCCCCGCCTCTGCCAGGACCCTCCTGGTCTGCTCCGAATCACTGCAGCTGGGCTCTCCACTCATCAGGCCTGCGGCATAAGGATGTGCTCTATTGTTTGGCATCACACATCTGCTCACTTCAAAGCGCTGTAATTGTTGTTGTTGTTTTTGCCCCCGGTGCCAAGGTGGATGAATAACCCTCTTGGCTTTGGGACATGACAGACTCTGCCACAGACATCAGCTGCTCTGAACTCAGGGACAGAACAGAGCTGACACCTGTGTGACGACTGAGGGCATTTCTCTCAAAAGAAGGAAACAATTATCACTGACCAGGAAACCCACATCACTCAATCAAGGGATCGCTTCGAAGGCTGGCGGCTCTTCTTGAAGACTGAATGCCTGTTCAGAACCAAACTGCTTCAGTTCAGCATGAAAATCGCTGTTTTGGATTCTTTTCTTACAATAACTGAAAACACAGAAGAAAATCTGGGCTATCAGCCCAGGCTTAAAACAATTCAGGGTTTTTATTGGCTTCTTTTGTGGGCCCTTTTTGCCAGATTCAGAGATGCTGGCAGGGTAAATCTGTAAGTCATGGAAATCATGAGTTCCATTATTTCATTCCAAACCCGTAGCTGACAAAATTAAACATGGGAAAGAGCCAGGACTTTTATCCAGTTCCCTAATTACCATCTGGAGCCTGACAGCTGAAATAAGATCAAACTTTTGTATAGAAAGAGGGAAAAAATTGCTATCAAGATGAGGAAAGAGATGAGTGGAGACACCCAAACGGTCAGGATCCATCCTGCCCAGAGCTGCGCATCTCCTGCTCACTCTGGAGGGTCGTGATGGCATACCCTGCTGAGCACAAGTCATGCTAGTTCTGGAGAGCCGGGAGAAAATGATTTTAAATCTACCTGAGGCACAAAGAGCCTTAGTGGGGCATAAGCAAACCTCTTGTGAAAGTAACACTAGGAGAAGAGTGGGGGCAATGCAGAGGTTAGTGTGTATGCTGGAGCTGCGCGTGGGGAGAAGATAACTGGTACCATAGGATGACAAACTGCTCTTCACTTCAAGAGTAACTTGGAGACGGGGTCAAGTAGCAATGAAAAAATGTTCAAATGAAGAGGTCCATGAAACCTGCATCTAACAACTGTAATGGAGTAGCCAAGAAATTAATTTGCCTTTTTCACGTTGACTGGATCCATGGGAGTAACACTGGTTTCCTGCTTCATAATTACAAGCCTGTCCATCTCATTTTGAGCTTTAAAAAGGTGATGGCCAACCCAAAATTCACAGCTAGCATCAGCATGTGATACAGCCCATGACAGTGAGAAAGGACTTGCTGAAAAAGGATGCCACTGAGCTAAAGGGGATCCTGGCTGAGGCCAGAATCCATCCAAGAAGCAGTGCTCTCGCAAACACTCAGCCAGTTGAACTTCAGCTAGTTCAAAGATGATAACAGAAAACTGTAATATCTTCAAAGGTATCTTTTAGTAACACAGCACAGGCAAGATACGTAGTCACGTATGTGTGAGGCTGCCAGCAGCTCTTCCCCTGAGCCAGATTCGCCTCCTGCTTTCCGCCTTCTTCTAATTCTCTGTTTTTCCTTGCAGCTGAAGGACTGATCGAATGAGGCAGAAGATCTCCGGGAAGAGCGTAAGTGGGGAATCAAATCTTGTATCGCACGGGGCAGCCTCGTCTCTCATGTGCAAATGAGGCATTCCTAATGCCAGTCTCTGCTGCGCTTCTGTGCGCTGGGATTTATCTGCATGCTTCTCACTTACCGGTTAGGAGCAAGTTGGCAGAGGCAGCATGGCCCTTCCGACCTTCGTAATGGAAGAGAAGTTATTCAGAATAGTTTAATATTTTATAAAGATTACTGGCGGTGAAAAGGCCCCGTGTGCATTCAAGAGCGTGCCTAATGCATCCCTTCTGAAGGCACAGATCATTGCTGGTTCAGGAGAGCTCCCTTTGCGTTCAGGGAAGAGCTCCAGTGATGGCCCAACCAAACACTGCCGCAGAACATCTGCCATCCGCCAAGAGACCACGGCAGAAGAAATTAAAGTCTAAAGATATCTGAAAGCATGGTGTTGTCCATTATTCTCCACCTTCCTCCATAAGTGGAGAAGTCTCTGAAATGGCATAAAGCACTCGGCAGAGGGAGGGGGCAGGAAGGGCTGGTTTCACGCTGTATTTCAGGGTGTTGGGGATGACTTCTTGGTGTCTGAGCTCCTACCCAAGTCACAGCCGCAGCGCTGAGCTCTGCGTTAGGTTCGTGACCTGTGTGTCTGTCAGCGAGTTCCTCAACATGTCCTGGTGTTTGCATAAGTAAAATGAAATTGCAGGCTGGTTTTGTAAATCCTCGTTGCTGACGTGCCACGCATTTATTTACAGATGGACGCTTGGGCCAGGCAGCTCAGCCACAGCTTTTAGCAGCCCCAGGAAAACCGCAGGGACAATGAGAGTTCATCTCAAGGGGGATGCGGTCTGTACCCTTTTCCTGGTGGTAGCGCTTTGCTCGGTGCTCTACACCCAGCTGGAGTATTTAGCCCCCAAAGGGGACAAGGAGCTGACGCAGAAGAAGCCTTCAGTAACACAGAGAATATTCCCTGACCCCAGAGCACCTGGGAGTCCCACACCGACTGAGGCAACAGCACCCAGACCCCCATTAGTTCCTAGCACTAGACGAACAGAAGTGGCTAATGGCAGGGTCCAAACTGCAACTCCAGCCCCATCCACTGATTCTGCCTTCAATTTCAAGCGTTACCTCCTAAACAAGGACAACAGGAACTTCAACCTCCTCATTAACCAGCCCAAGAAATGCAGGAGAATACCTGGAGGCCCCTTTCTGCTCATTGCTATCAAATCAGTAGTCGAAGACTTCGACAGACGGGAGATTGTCCGGAAAACCTGGGGCAGGGAGGGTTTGGTGAATGGGGAGCAGATTCAGAGAGTGTTCCTCCTGGGGACACCAAAGAACAGGACATCGCTGGCAACGTGGGAGACCCTGATGCAGCAGGAGAGTCAGGCGTACCGGGACATTTTGCTCTGGGATTTCATGGACACTTTCTTCAACCTGACCCTGAAGGAGATCCACTTCCTGAACTGGGCCGCTGAATTCTGCCACAATGTGAAATTCATTTTTAAAGGTGATGCTGATGTTTTTGTCAACATCGAGAACATCGTTGACTTCCTTGAGAGACACAACCCCACTGAGGACCTCTTCGTTGGGGACATCATCTACAATGCCCGTCCCATCCGCACCCGGAAGAGTAAATACTACATTCCAGAGACCATGTATGGCCTCAGCATCTACCCAGCCTATGCAGGAGGAGGAGGCTTCCTGCTGTCCAGCTGCACTATGAGGAAGCTGTCCAGGGCTTGTGGAGAGGTAGAACTCTTCCCCATCGATGACGTTTTTCTGGGCATGTGCTTACAGAGAATCAGCCTCAAACCCATTTTGCATGAAGGATTCAAGACCTTTGGTATTGTCAAACCTTCTGCAGCCCCACACCTACAGACATTTGACCCCTGTTTTTACAAGGATTTGATGGTAGTTCACAGTCTGAAAGTTGCTGAGATCTGGCTCATGTGGAACCTGCTCCACAGCCCAAGGCTTTCCTGTACTCAGAAGAGGCAAGTGAAGAAGCCTTTCCAATGGAAAAGGAAAGCACAAATTGCAACACAGGCATCACCTCTCAGTTAATGCAGGCAGACCAGCAGCAGAAAGGTGTCAAACCAGCTGAGAAAGGGAACCTGGAGGGCTTGCAACCAAATGAACAGATTTTAGGAGTATCTTAGTGCAGCCTATTTACAGGACAACAAACTCTGGCAGGAATTTGCCAGAATTCCACATTTGCTCACACATACCACATAGATCCTTCTCCATTAACGTGCCCAAACACTCATAATCATATGTTTAATTTATTATTATTTATTAGAATTACAGTAGTGCTTAGCAGATCAGTGTGCACAGACATTGCAAAATGCCATCCTCGGAGATTTTTCAGCATTGTTAAGAGATGTGCAAAATGGAAGGAGGATGAGGGAAAGAGATGAAGCTGAGCAGCACAGAGATCACTGTCAGCTTGTTACCTTGATTAGGGCTGGAGTTATTCAGACTCAATGAGAAACAAGCTACATGGTTAACTAGAGTTAAGGAAATCAGCTGTCCTCAGGGGGTGCTCAGATGAAAATATCACTGCCTGATTGGCTTTCTGTAAGCCCCAGGAAAGAACAGCTATTGAGTTGATGCAGACAGCATGGACTAGAAGAAAATAAGCTTGGGGTGACAAGGCCAGTTGAGCAGAAGACAGGTGGGTAAATAACTGGGAAGGGATGGATTTACAAAGCATTCTTTGCAACAGCATGAGCTCAAATTCGTGCTCCACTGACACTGTCAGGACTCAGAGGACCATCTTTTGGCACTTGAGGGAGATTAGACTTTCTACACTGTGCTGACTGGCACTCCGTGAAAACTCATAGCTTTCTAGCAGCACCTGACCTCTCTCACTCTCTAATGCATATCTTCAGAAGGCTTGCATCTGAGGAGATCCTTTTGCTTGTGAGGGTGAAAACACACAGAGCTGCTGCTTGCATCACTTTTGAGAGCTTCTTCAAACCAAAGGAAATCTTGTCAATGGACTGGGCTGGCTTCTCTGGACCTCAGTACTCTTCCTGGCGTACTGTCAACTGCAAAGAGCAGCCAGGACTTTCAGCATTGCTGTGAGTGTCATGTGAAGGGAGAAAGCAGTCTTCAGACAAAAGGGCTTCAGAATAAAAGCCCTTCTAAACTCTTGGGGAGAAAAAGCCCACCAGTATTCTTCCTCTTGGTAAAGGATTTTCCATGTTTCAGTTAATCTATAACTTCATAAGTATTTTAAATATCAGACAAGAACACTAGGCTGCTTAGCCTTTCAAAGAACAGTCGATAGTTCAAAGCAGTTTGTTTTTCTAGCAGCAGATTACCATGACAGAACATCCCTTCCTTGGATATCAAACAGTACATCTCTCAGAACCGAGGTTAAAAATCTGGATTTCCCTCTGAAGCTGTATTTGCTACTCCTTCTGTAATTTCTTCTCCCTCAACAACCCCCCCCCCATCCCTCAGAGAACTCCAGATGCCATCCCCCACCAGGAGGGCACATCCACACAGCCAGGAAATGGAATCAGTCGTAAATCTCCAGGAAGCGGCTTTAATTTCATCAGAGCCTGCAGTACAGATGCAGTCAGACCTGGGCACATCCTTCCTCCCATCTGGCTGTAGGCTGGCTTCGTTCCTGTATCACTGGGCAGCTGTGAAGGAAAACACACTGGTCATACCTACCGATATTTGTAACGTCTTACATGTTACCTTCATCTTCAGAGTTCAAGCCTTACAATAATGTATTTCCAGGGAAAGGTCGTCTGCAGGAATCAAAGGGCCATGAGCAGAATAAGGGTATTTTCAGGAAAGATCCTGAAATGCAGCATTCTCACATGGGCTGCACGAGGAGTAATATGTGGGAAGGAGCCAGAGCTTCACTGGTGAGTGAATGCCAGGTGTACCCCTCTGTACCGTGTGCGATACGTACGGAATTAGGAGTTGTAGAGAAACGTGTTACCTGTGTTTAGTTTACAGCCTGGGAAATTCCTTATAGCATGATTAAAGGACAGCACGCAGGCATGCCTCCAGTTGTCAGAGTGAGTCTATTGAGTACATCTCCACACACAATCAACCAACACCACGTCTTTTTCACCAAGGCAGCAACGTGAAAGCACAGCATTCATTGTTTTGGACAACTTGGTAAGTCTTTCCTTATGCTGGACTTCACTTAATGTAGAAAAATAAACACAGCTTACCTCGTGACTGCAAAGCAGCCAGTCAGGTTCAGCAGTCCTTATTAAGGTCTTCCTTTTGAGCTTGGAGATGCAGTAACATTTGGCTCCTTCTTCTGTAATGTCTTCAGATCCACAGCACGCACACAACACAGCAACAATGAGCACATTTTGTCCCAGATCGAAGCAGCAGTTTAACACAGCACTTCAGTGGCTGGCAGCCCTGCCCAGGGCAAGGGGGCTGGAACTCCAGGACATCCAAGGTCCCTTCCAACCCCTCCCATTCTGCAGTTCTGTGAGCCACCTGCGCTGGCACACACCTGGTGACTGGCAGAAACAGACCTAGGGCAGGCTGCTCACTGCATTGCCTCTGTCTGTAGAACAGCTTATATCTTTGTCCAATGAATGTAAATCTGATGTTACTGATGAAAGGTACATCTGCTTCTGTTTGCCAGTCTTTGCTGCAAGGCCTGTTTAACCCGGTTTAAAAGTTTCCATTTGCTTCTGCAGTGGAGCTGGAAATTTACAGACCCCAAATGCCAGCATAAGTAATGTGTTGAGGAAATACCAGAGGGCAGAGCTGTACACACTGCAGTTTATTAAACTCTGCTTCTGCCACTGCAGGCAAAAAGCCTTTGACTAGAGAGCTTCTCTTTCAGGTAGCCCTAAAATCTTAGGTGTGTATGAGAATGAGGAGGAAAGATCCTCTGCTGACCTCCTTTTGAACAGAGCTCTGAGGTGTGGACCCTCAGCTCCGAATGCTCCCGTGGAGCTTGTTAGGGAAATGCAGAGCATGCAGAAGATTATCTTACAGGGACAGATCAGTTATCTTCCTTGTAGGCAGAGATTGCAAGTTGCATAAAAAGAACATTGCTGTGTGCTTTGCATCAGGAAGGGAAAACTGGGATACTTACAGCAACGACAGTGCTAAAGATAGACTAGACAGGCTCAAGGAGGAAACACCTTTAAAATCTTACACTTGACCCAATTTTTTGGCAGCACTGATCATGGGGGGAATACTGAAATGCTGCTCTGAAATGAAGCTGTTACGTCCAGGTGCTCAGACACAAACTTCAGTACCTAATTTCAGCTGTGGCAATGGAACCAGCTATGCCTTTCCTATGAAGAGCCTGACTTTCCACACAAACCTTTTTGCCTGCAAGGAGAGCACAAAGACCCATTAACTCCTGCACTAAGTGCACGAAAAGCAGGCAGCGATCATCCTGCTTTACCCCTCTAAGCACAGCAAAATTTGCAGAATAAACATAGATCTCATCAACTCGAGTTCTGCAAAACCTCCTGACACCTCCCGGAAACCCAGAACGGTCCATTTCAGAAGGAAATTTGGGGCAGGTTTATGAAGTGGCTAATTCATTGCACCAGGTGGGGCTCCACGTAAAGCCTTGCTTGGCAGTTCCGTTCATTACCATAACCCACGACGAGAAAAGAAAACACAAAACAGTCCTCTGCAGGCACCACCAGTAGCAACCAAAGCAGGCAGACTCCCCCGGGGCAGACAAATAAGCACAGTAGGTTTTATTGAAACCTAGAGACCCGCACACAGTCATTTTTTTCCTACTGTACATGAGCAGCCAGATTTGGTCATTATAAGGAGCAAAGCTGGCTTGAGCCTCACATTCAGCACCTCTGAACGCATCTCTGAAGGCATAAACTGGTAGGGAATGCCAAGATCTGTCATTAGGTCAGGCCACTGCTGGCTTAGACACCATAAAAAAGAAAGCCAGGGACATCTCTGAAGGAATGGAGTGTTAAAATACCATGCTTCCTGCCTGCAGCTTAATTATTCATCTTGCAACGGGTTCTCAGAAGCAAAGCCCAACTGCAACATCAAGCAGCAAAAAAAAAAAATCAAACATCTCAGAGCTAAATGCTAAATGTGAGAACCAAGAACACTGTCCAGAGAGCACTGAGAGACCTGCAGGCTCGGGAGGTGAAGAATGTCCATCTGAAGAACTGCTGCACCCGTGGGTTGTATCCTCCAGCTGGAGCTGCAGGTCTCGGCAGCCCTGAAAATCAGCCCCATGCATTTCCCTAAGGATGCTGCTAACCTCACTGACATTGGTCAAAACCAGTGAACTTCCAAATTCAGTCTCCCATGATTTTTTCAGCCTTACAGAAATCTGAATTGAAGAATGAGAGGGAAAACTGAAACCCAAAGCATGAGTGCACCTGAGTCCCTCCAAAGGCCGAAGCAGCTCCCCACCAGCGCTGGCCATCCTGAGGCTCTCCTGCAGCTCGCCCAAACCAGCTGTGGTGAAGAGGGAACTAAGAGATTTGGGCTGCTTTGATTATTTACTTGATGGGAATGCGTATTTGTAGTCATGACGGGGTTGTTTTTTTGGTGTGTGTGTGTGTGAGATTGGTATTAAAAATAAGCATTCTCTGATGAGCATTAATAGTAGAATTGAAGGTTAAGCATTAGCAGGAATCTGTTACATAGGTCTGAAATATTAAGACACTTAAAACCTGCTTCCAAGACTGCAATACGTATACTTTAAAATGACTGAGCTAATAGCATAGGGGAATGAATTAGGGGATGGAAAAGGTTGTGTTAAAAGCATTCAAATCTGGCCCCATACTTCTGTAACTCTTGATGCTAGTTTATGTTCAAGAGTTCCATTTTCAGAAAGCTTCATTTTCATTTGCCTCTTATTTTGTTTCACCTTTACCTCTGGAACATCCTGGGTAATACCTTGCATGAAAAGAACAAACCAGAGCTGGTGTGTATAGCATTAACCCCACAACACAGCGGCAACATTTTCACCTGGCTGCATGTGTTGTGCCAAGCTGTGTTTGATCAGCCAAGACACAGAAGAGTCCCTCTGTGTCAGTGCAACCACACTATAGGGGGGAAAACAGCTGAGGTGTCTGGGACAAAAGTTGACATGAAATAACTGAGCCAGTTCAGAACATTTGTCCCTTCACAACCTCAAAAACCAGGCTCCAGCACCCCTGGTTTCCTCTGCCAGCAGAGTGCACAGCCAGCCCTAAAAGGATGGATCACCTCTGGCTGAGTTACTGAGCCCCACAAGAGGTTCTGTTTTATAGTTCTGATGGAACGTGAATGACCTTAATGTACAAATCAGTTCTTACACACCCGACAGCTATTCCAGCAAATCACAGAATCGTAGAATTGCAAGATTGGAAAGGACCTGCAAGATCAACCAGTCCAACTGCCCTCCCATCACCATTGCTACCACAGGCACTAAGCCACATCTCACAGCTCCTCATCCAGGTGCCTCTTGAGGACTGCCAGGGACGGCGACTCCACCACCTCCCTGGCAGCCATTCCAGTGCCTGACCACCCTCTGAGAGAAAAAGTTTCTCCTCATGTCCAACCTAAACCTCTTCTGGCACAACTTGCGGCCATTTCCTCGGGTCCTGCTCATCGCCTGGGAGAAGAGGCCAAACCCCTCCTCACCACAGCCTCAGGAAGTTGTAGAGTGCAGTGAGGTCTCCCCTGAGCCTCCTCTTCTCCACACTGAACAATCCCAGCTCCCTCAGCTGCTCCTCGTAAGCCCTGTGCTCCAGACCCCTCACCAGTTTTGTTGCTCTTCTCTGCACACGCTCCAGGACCTCAACATCTTTCCTGTAGTGAGGGGCCCAAAACTGAACACAGTACTCGAGGTGCAGCCTCACCAGAGCTGAGTACAGGGGATGCTCACCTCCCTGCTCCTGCTGGCCACACCATTTCCAATGCAAGCCAGGATGCCGCTGGCCCTCCTGGCCACCTGGGCACACTGCTGGCTCATTTTAAGAATCTGTTAAGAATTAGATGTGCAACAGTTCCTTACAACAGAAAATTCAGTTTTCTTGACAGAAACTGTTTGTGGGAGCAGAGGGTGCTGGTGATACCCAGTGGCACTGCTTGCAACACTCCCAGGACATCAGCATCTACCTGCAGGCCTATGGGCATGGGAAGGAAGGTCAGTTTCACCTCCAGACAGAAGGGCTCCAAGATCAGCTTTGTTGACCACAAACAAGTGAAACACTGTGGAAAACACTGCAATGTTCAAAGCCCAGCAGACAAATGCATGCATGAGCTCTCACCTCCAGTCTCTATTCTCATTCCATCCTAGCACTTCAAACTTGTCATTAGTGCCCCACTGCTCCTCAGCTCTTCATTCTAACGAGGCCTCAGGGCTCCATACTAGCTGCCCTAATGCATCCATACAGGCACTGCTTGGCTTAGCTAACTCCAGACAGTGGAAAACAAAACAAACCATCTCAGGGAAACAAGCTATGAAGCTGCAGCTACAAAGGGCAAGTGGGCAAGACGCAGAGGAGCTGTCCCACATTCTCTCTCCATGCCCATCTGAAAGGAAACTGCAGACTGAAAGCACAAAGAACAAGCCAAACCCAAGCAATGAGGGGAAAAGTGCTTTCGTTCCTCACTGATAAATTATCTTTGGAGACTCCTTCTCTCCTCCTCCTGCACAGCTCTGCATAACAGCAAATTGCTCTTAATAGATCTTAAAAACAGGGTTAGGGGCCAGGGTAATCTTCTAATGGATGAAAAGCTCTCTCATTTTACAAAAGAAATTGCCAGCAAATCAAAAGGGAGCAAAGGAAATAAGAACAAGTCACGGTAAGGTAATGAGCTGTGTTCTTCTTAGTGCCTGAGCAAGATTTTTCAAAGCAAGTTTTCTTCCACGCCTCAAGACCAACTTTGAGAAGTCTCTGAATTATTAAGAAGGAACATTTAATTATCTACTCTATATATGTACATATATATGTATTTTTTCTTTTTTGACTTACCCAAGTACCTCAAGTGAAATGGGAGCACTGAAGCTGTTAAATATCTCAGGCTATACAGTCCTGACCTCCCACTCCTGGAGAATTACAGCTGCTGGACATTGGGAGCATTTGCGTAGCCTTTGCTCAAATTGTTCTGTCAAGAATTTCTCCTCCTGCAGCTAAAACCAAGTCACTGTTGGAAAAGGATTTACTGAAGTTAATTGAAGTTATTAGCAGTACGATCACGCTTTAGTATTGAACATAAGTGCGCACAGCACCTCCAGTCAGAGATCCCAAAGTTCTCTGAGAGCACAGTGAGCACGGGGTGACCAACGCCACCTCATGTTGCAGGAGGGCAGGCTGCACAGGCAGCTGAGCACTTCTCCACCTGCATGAGAAACACCTGCCCTGCAGGGAGCTCTCAGCTTGTCTGCTGAGACCTCAAGGTGCAAACAAGCAGCAGGAGAAACCAGGTCTGCTCTTCTCACTGCAGACATTTTTCAAGGCGTTTAGCCTTGAAACTTGATCCATTTGAGGGAAATACCTGGAAGCTGATGTAGGTGGAACCATGGCATTCATTAAACACAGTGCAAGTTATTTACAGCACCATAAAGACTCTCATCCCCCATTTCAGGGGAGGTAACAACACCGTGTTTCAGGTGCTGCTGAGACACAGGCTGCTATGTATGCTCCTGTCTGTACTGCTGTAAAGGGAGGGATGCCAGTAAGGTATTTCAAATATCACACCTGAAAGACATTAAAATAAAATGACTATCTGATAAGGGGAAAAAAAGAAGAGAAAAAAAAAAAAAAGAAAAAAAAAAGCAGGACCATCCATGGTTTTATTACAAAAACACCCAGTAACTGTATTTAACACAAAAATAGTAACTGAGAGTCTTGTTTTATTTTTCTTTCAGTGTACATGCTCATTATTATTCCATTTAATTTACAGAAGGGCTATGTAAAATGAAATTAAAATTAGGAAACTAAAGGAAAGCTGAGGCACAGAATTTTCTTAGCAAGCAATGATCACGGGAGACAGCACAGATTGAACAGGGATTCAACAGGAGTGACACCTAGGGATAAAGGTAAACAGTAACTTTTTCCTTATCCATTAGATTCCCCGCGTGCCTTTTTTTCTTTGTTTGCTTTAGCAAAACATTTTAGAGTGTCACAGTATACAGGAAGACTAAATGGCAAAGAACGTCTCGCACACACACCACATTTATCCCTGCTACTGGTCCGAGATCCAAAACTTGTTAACATTCGATTTCCTATCTCGCATTCATTGATAAACTATACAGGATTACACTGTACATGGAGTTAAAATTACAAAAATGTCGTATTTACAAAATCTGTACACACATAGTAAAACTCACAAAATTGTCATCTATGTATCACAAGTTGCTACACCAAAATATTAAAAATGGGATAAAATTATACATTTCTCTTGTCCATTTTTAAAAAGGGTTCAATATTTCAAAGACAGACCACCTATTCCCCCAGATAAGACTGATAAAAGAACTAGAAACTAAAGTATCCTCCTGGGATAACACATTGCGAGCAGCATCTCCCAACTAGAAAGAAGCCTATGTCCTGTCTGCTGGGTGGGTGTGCGGTTAGCGCCTACGTACAGGAAGGTGAAACAAGAAGGATGTCTTTGGCTAAACCTTTGGCATAACTTAAAGTCATACATCAACAGCGACAGAAAAGGTGTTTGTGGTGATGGCAGAGCTTGGGAAATTCTTTCTGAGATACTCAGATACAACTTCTCTCTCTCTCTCTCTCTCTCTCTCTCTCTCTCGGGGGGGGGGGGCGGGCGGGGGGGGGGGGGGGGGGAGGGGGGGGGGG